GCTGGCCTTCACCCTCTAACTACACGAGTCTATTCAAGGACAATAAGATCATGGTATCTCTTTGGCCAAAGCTGAGTACATTCTTCAATCCCACCCTGTTAACAAAAACACCCAGTCCTCCAACTGAATGCACAAAAGATGAAAATGAAAGCTCTACACCATGTTTCCTTGCAGGAGACCACAGAGCCAATGAGCAGCTGGGTCTAACAGCTATGCACATCTTGTGGTTCCGTGAACATAATCGCATAGCGAGGGAACTTTTGAAAATGAACCCACATTGGGATGGAGATAAACTTTATAATGAAGCCAGAAAGATTGTTGGTGCAGAGATGCAATATATTACATATAGTCACTGGCTACCGAAGATCCTTGGCAATCATGGCATGAAGATGATGGGTGAATACAGAGGTTATAATCCTAATGTGAATGCAGGGATTATTAATGCTTTTGCAACTGCTGCTTTTAGATTTGGCCACACATTGATCAATCCTGTTCTTTATCGTTTGAATGAGACCTTTGGAGAAATTCCACAAGGCCACCTTCTTCTACACAAGGCTTTCTTTTCTCCATTCCGAATAATCCAGGAAGGGGGTATTGATCCACTCCTTCGTGGCCTTTTTGGAGTTGCTGGTAAAATGCGAGTACCTACTCAGCTCCTGAATTTGGAGTTGACTGAGAGGCTTTTCTCCGTAGCACATTCAGTGGCTCTGGATCTGGCAGCTATGAATATCCAGAGGGGGCGTGACCATGGGATTCCTCCATATGTTGACTATAGGGTTTTCTGTAATTTAACTTCAATTGAGAAGTTTGAGGATCTCCAAAATGAAATTAAAGATGCAAAAGTTAGAGAAACACTGAAAAAGTGAGTATGAAAGTACTTGTACTGTTTGTGATACATGGCGTACTGTATCTGAATGTCTCAGCCCAGGCCATAGCATTTCTTAAATTTTAAAATTGCCTTTTACAATCTTTTGCTTAATACTTTAATTGTGTGTACCTTCTCCACACACTGTCATACCAACTTTTTACAGCAATATTAATATTTGATCAGATCTTTATTGTCCTCTTTTCCACTAAGGATCTCTAAAAAACCTTTTTATCCTTCTCTCCAAAAATTGGCACTAACCATACTTGCCTGCTTTCTCCTTTAGGTGCATCACCTACCCCTTCAACCACATTTTGCTACTTCCTGACCTCTCTTACACCAACTTTCATACCTTCCTCTTCTCTCTTTAACTTGTTATCACCATCTTCTTTCTGTCATTTAAAGTATAAGAGATGACAACTTTCTCCCATCCTCAAAAAAATCCTCAACTCTACCTAACTTATATTCTCTTCCTCCTTTCATCCTGTCCTGGTTCAACACAGTGGAAGAGCCATGCACAGCTGTTTTAGTTTTTTTCTCAATTCCCATTATGGATCCTTCCAATTTAGCTTCTGTTCTTTCTAATCCTTCAAAACTGCTTGCTTCATGGTGTAAACAAGTTCTTTTTAATCATTTCTCAAAAGCTCTACTTCATTTTTATCCACCTTAGTTGCCTAGCTGAACCTGACAATGGTGATCTTGCCCTCCTCAACAGATTCTTTCTTAATTCTTGAGATACAGCCCTCTTCAGTTTCTCAGCTTCCTTCTCTAGCTTGAAGATTGCTAAACAGTCTCCTTTATATGGTTTCTTCTCCCATTTCCTTTTTTACTGTGGGTCTCAAAGAGCTCTGTTATAGCCCTCATTTTATCTTTGTATTTATTCTGTGGGTGATGCCACTTGCTCATGTAATTACAGCTATTATCTGAAGGCTGGGTTGGTACGGCGCTGAGGTGCACAGTTGACTACCTAGAGTTTGCAAGCTCAAAGCCACAGCACACAAGTGCTTATGGCATGGCCCTGTCAGATTGAAACAAATCTGCAAATACTACTAAATACTTTGTGAAAAGAACATGAAAAAAGCAGGAAGCCATTATAACAGCTCCCAAATTAATCTACAAGGAATGGGCAGCTCAGTATCATACAACTAGGGGTATCAACAGAGGTTCTTTTAGGATCTGTACCAGGTAAAGTACTGTTTATGTTGAGCAGGATAGGAGATAGTTATAAAGGACAAGATTAAGAATCAATAACTTTGAAAAATTGGAAAAATAGTCTGAAGTGCATAGGTGAAATTCAGTAAGGACAAATGCAAAACACCACAGTTAGAAAGGAAAAGTCAAATAGACAAACACAAGTGGTTAGACGGCAGTACTGTTGAAGATGATTTGAGGTTGATCATGGATCACAGAGTGTGTAAAGCATAATTTTGCTGTAATAAAAGTTAATAACTTAGTGGGAATTAGGTACAGTATAACCTCATAAATCTGGTGTGCTCGGGACCATGCACCTGTCAGATATTTGAAAATGCCTGATTTTTTTAAACCCGAGTGGCCGGTCATGGAGTGGAGGGGGAGGGAGCGATGGCTGGTCCGGGGGCAGCAGCTGCACACAGAACGCCTGCTTGGGGTTGTGGATGGTGGCAACAGTTGCTGCATGCAAGCTTCCCCCTCTGCATCGGGGGGCAGGGAGAGTGGCGGCCAGTCCCAGAGCAGTGCCGGATTTTTGAGAATTCCAGATTTTTGAGATCAGGATTTATGAGGTTATACTGTATTATAATTCTCATGATTATTATCATAGTCCTATCAACAGGAGTACCATGTACCAGTCTACTTTGTCAAAGCCTCACTTAACTCTGCCCAGTTTGGACAAATCGTCCTCCAGAAGATAACAACAAAAATGATTAGCAGTCTAAAAACATGGCATGTGAGGCAAATTGTTGGAAGAACTCAGATTATTTTAGAGAAGAAGATATTATAATGTTCTTCAAATATAAGAAAGGCTGATATAAAGAGAATGTTGATTAATTGTTCTGTGATGTACACTGTGGGGAAGGACAAGAATAGGCTTAAATTGCAGCGAAGGAGAATTGTGTTATGTTCTAGCTATGAAGATAGATAAGCACTGAACAGGTTGTGGAATGTCTGTCACTGGACTTTTTTAAGTGCATTTCAGGCAAACATTTATTTGAGATAGTTTAAAAAGAAATGGTGCTTTCTTGATCAGAGGATTGAACTAGGTGATTTCTCCAGGTTTCTTCCAGCCCTCATTTTCACTATGGTTGGCATTAGTTGGCCTCTCTTAGACACTATATGTGACAGCTGAAAATTATGTCTGTGTGATAAAGGTGCTTGCTGAAGACTCTATGAAGATTAGACCAAGTGTTTTTCTATCATTTGTTCAGATATTAAGCTATATGTTGTTGTTAGAGCCTAATTAAAGTCAAAGATGTAGTGAGGCCTTGTATATGTAGTGTGAGGCCTAGTAAATTTAGCAGAGCCTTGTAGAAGTGGTAGTAAGCACAGTGGCATAGTAAAAATTAACATTATCAAAAGAATGCAAGGCTTGTACTGCTATTGGTCAGTCTAAGAACAGTTGAAGTAAAGAGAATCTGAATGACTGTAAGTTATCAGCATAGCTCAAAAGTTGTAAATTGGCTGGTACATCTGGAAATCATTTAGAAGGAAGATGCAGCTCTGTAAAAGAAACTCCTGATTTAAGATTACCTGCTGGCCTGGATTTGGTGGGCCCGTGGATCTCGAGGGGCCCATGGACTGAATACCAGGGTCCTTCCTGGTACCCCTTGGACATGTCAGGCATTGGGCTGGCATTGGTGCCTACCTTGGTGTCCTGGGAGAGAGGACTCCCCACCCCCCATGACTTACCAGGGTGATCCCCAGGGCCCCCATTTCCCCCAGATCATCAGAGGGGGAGAGCTTCACTGCTGGACCCACCCCTGGGTCATGTGAGGCCTCAACCTTGATGCCCCTGGTCTGGGGTGGGAGGGGATAGGCCCTGGCCGGTGGACCAAGGGGTTTCCTCCATAGGCTCTTTCTCAGGAATCTCCAGCAGCTCTGAAACCTCCTCCACTGAGATTACCTATGTTCTCTTTCCCGGGGGGTGAGGTGTTGGGCACAGTTGAGGGGACCCCCAAAAGCTGGGCCGCTCCCTCCCACTGCATGGTGGTTGGAGGGGTGGTTTCCTCTACTTCAGTGGGATCCAGCTGCTACTGGGCCTTCTGCTTGGCTTTGCACCCACAAGGGACCTGCACCCACATAGTCATGGGGTGGTCCTTGGATGGACAAACTCTGGTAGATTCATAGATTCATAGATTAAGGGTTGGAAGGGACCTAGTAGATCTTCTAGCCCGACCCCCCGCCAGGGCGGGAGAACAACAAAAAACCCCCAAAAGAGAAACGGGACTCAAACGAGTCCAGCCAGGTAGGCATCCAGCCTCTTCTTAAAGACCCCCAGGGTAGGGGCCAGCACCACTTCCCTTGGAAGTTGGTTCCAGCTCCTAGCCGCCCTAACTGTGAAGTAGTTTTTGCGGATGTCCAATCTATACCTCCTCT